TGGACGGCAGCAGAGGCGGGGGACGGACAGGCGCCTTTGCTGCAGGCCCATGACCTCTCTTTCTACCAGCAGTTCGATGTGCCTTCCCTCGGAAAGTATCATAATTACTACCCAGAGAATACACCGTCATTCAATCTGATGGAAAGGTAGTGAATGCCGCGCTCGCCTCTGGTACGACTCCTGTTCACCAGATGCGTGGATGAGGCCCATGCTAGAGGAGCGGAGTTGGCGTCTTCATATGACCCTTACCTTCCTGTGGACCTCATGCAGTCGCTCATCATTACTGTAGGGCCGCTACATCGCACAAGGCAATCGCTTTGGGGATGCCGATGGTCTTTCACGTCAGATCCATGACTACATGCCGGGACATAGCTGGATGGCATCAATAGCAGTAGCGGCCACTGTGGTGAGCGACGTGCTCCTGACACCATTTGGGGCTAGTGTCTATTGGTCTCAGGTTAGGATCATGGTATTACCACTGTTGATATCGTCTATGAGAGCTGGTCGGATCAAGCAAAGGATCATGCCTCAGCTGGATGTGAGCTGTCTCTAGTGGCACTGTGGCCTAGGAACTCATCAGGCGTTGAGTGCTGAGATGAAGGAAGCAGAAAAGAAGGGGAGTCAACAGCAACTCATACGGGCCCAAACGAAGTGATTTGGCGGTGCTTCTTGGAGTGTGATAAATGTTGTTGGTTTGTCTGCATCAGTGTTGGGAAATATGCACATGGTAAACTACATGTGTTGGTGACAATCTTGAAATTCCGAGGAAATTTTGGAAGTTTCTTCATTGTTTTTGTAAACTTCTACTTTAGCTCGGTATAATTAGTGAGGAAATTTGTGAACTCAGCTGAGGAGAGTAAATGTATATTCTCACACTGGTCTGTCCTGTAGATACTCTCAGTTCATAAAGGAGCACGGGTCAATGGTGACGATGAAGGGCATGATGGGCATGTTCGTACAAATACCAATATTCACTACTGCCTTCCTTTCCATGCGTCAGATGTCCAACCATCCTCATATATTCAAAGGTGAATCACCCGCTGGTTGTGACATCCAGCTTTCCGTGCGCTCAGGGTTCCCGATGGAGACGCCGTTATGGTTGGACTCAT